TGATTTGAGGTGAGAGGAGAGGAGGAGAAGGGTACTATGTTGTGACAATTGACTGAACTATAAACGACTCTTTGAGAACCTTTCAGAGCAGTCCCTAGAACTACTGAGGAGGAAGTGGGAATTCAAAGAGAGATACATATATTGTTGAAAGTTAGAAAGCAGGGGGGCTCTTTTAACAGAGTCAGGAGACTTACTTTTAGAAGTGTCCATGCGAGCTAATTGTTGTCCCTTTGCTATTTCAGGGAGAGGATGTTCCTCTTACAGAGCAAACTGTCTCACAGGTATGTCTTCTGGCCACATCTTGTTGGGTGCCCTTCATGAAGTCCTGGTTGGACTGGATTTTTTCCAACATGATTCCCTGCAACCTTCTGTTTTGCCCTCCAATTTCTCATTGATGTTTCCTGAATAATGAAGCTCAAGGCATTGAGGGAGGGGAAGATGTTGCCAGGACTGCCGACCAGATCTATCTGCAGTTTTATTCACAAGTCTTGATTTTTAGAGTTTGGGCCCAAACTGGGCATTTTGAGAACCTGGGGCTACCCAAATCCAGCGTTCTGTCACTTAGTAAACCCCCACCCGTGTGATCTGGATTATACAACTCTCAGCATTCCTCACTGTTGGCTGTGCTGGCTGGGCCTGAAAAAGGAGTCAAAGTCCAAAATATCTAAAGAGCACCAAGTCATGGGCAACTCTCTTAGTCCTTACATTTGAAATGAGATACTTGAAACCATGTTGATAAAATTTCACAGGCCTACACAGCATACAGAACTTTAAATTTTATGTATACATGGTGTACATAGACTTGGATTTCTCTTTTCACTTAAGTGTGCATGCAGAGCAGACTCCTCTTCTGTGATTTAAGGCCTTTTCCAGTGATGATTTTCCAGCAAGGGCACAAGGTGTATGTAAGGAGAGTTGTTGACTGAATTCCTGTGGCTCTCAATCTTTACCCTGGATGTCTTTCTGCAGGTGCTGCAGTCAGCAAAGGAACAGATCAAGTGGTCACTACTGCGATGAAGAGCCACACGGGATTTGTCCCACTACTGTGTCCCCAGATACCCTTACTTCCCTATCTGTCTCGCACTGACCAAAATATAACATGACCACATTTTTTTGATGTACTTGATGTCCTGTTCTTCATTGTCCCAAGGGGTGCTGGTGCTGGTGCTCAAGAAACCAATAGTAACAGCTGCTTTCAAATTCAGTCTTACCTACCGGGATCCTTCTGCCTGTAGGGAAAACACATGTCTTCTCTATCATCCTCTGCCCACCCTGAGTGCTGCATCTTTAGTACAGAAATGTAGCTGTTGTGTGCTTCTATCTTACAAGCAAACCTTTCTGGGGAGTGAGGTGGGAATAGGCTGAACTTGCAGAGAAGGATGCAGGTATGGATGAACTAAATATGTCATTTCCCACACCCCAGAAAATGTCCAAAATAGGTAATTCTTCAGCGGTATGTCCATGATAGGATTGCTTTTATGCTTGTTGTCCTATGCCATCAAGTTGCAACTGACATATGGCTACCCTAGTATGGTTTACAAGGTCTGTGAGATATTTAAGGAATGATTTTACCTGGGCCACCCCTCCAATGAGGTTCCATGGCTGAGTGGGGATCTGAACTCAAACCTACTGAGTCCTGATCTGTCACTTGAACCACTACACCGAATATGCTTTTATTCTCTTCCCACAAATAGGCTACTTGTCCGGGTCTCTACTATCACAGCCCTTTCAAAAAAATGGACAACCTGTACCCATTTTAAATGCCCCTGGCTGAAAATCATACATCTCAAAAATCATTTTTGGTCTGTCCTAGCTCATCTTATGGGCTCTTATAAACCATAATAAAGTTCCCTTTATATCTTAAGTCAGAGTTATTGAAACAAAGCTCTGCTAATAGTTCCCAGAGCATTTTCTTCCTATATCTAGTTGAAGGCAAAGGTTGATCATCATATGCCAGAGTAGAGATGGGGAATCTGTGACACTGGTTCTAAAAACAAATATAGTAACAATACCCTCCACATATTGCTTACTTTCATGTTCCTGCATGGCCCTTGGTTGTTTTACCAAGCAAAGGCACACACTACATGTTGTTCAGATGCCACCAGTTGATTACATCAGTAGGACAGCCCGTGGGATCAAAACTTGTGCTTTCACTTATTTGCAGCCTGAAATAAATAAAACCCAGAAATACATGTTCCCAGGGTGTAGTACCAGGACTGACCACTAGATGGAACCAGAGACTGCTATACAGTATACAGATGGCTTAATGGAAACACTCTCCTGGCAGCTTTCCGTGAAATGGAAAAGCTTGGGGGTGGGGAGTGGTACGGTAGTGGCAGTTTTCAAAGAAGTCTTCCTTGCAAACAGGACAGCAGGAAATCCAGTCCTTTGGCAGGGCTGGGCCAGGTTCTCTCTCTCTACCATGAATGGATGGACACCAGAGAAACTGGATGTAAGTACTTCATTTATCAGCTATTTCTGGTATCCACAGGGGGCCTTGAAACCAACCCCCTGCGGATACTGTGGTTCTACTCTAATAAGAGATAAGAAGTAATTATGTAATGACAAAAAATGTACATGGAAATAAAACTGAAGCAAGAATATATGGAAGGCAGAACAATAAAGATTTGAAACATTTAAAAAATCATCACCTGAAGGATACTCAACAGTTTTTTCTAGCTCTGTTGTATTTTGTCGAAATAATTAAAAATGTAACCCGCAGGATCCTCAGTAAGACTTTAATCATTTGGGCTGCCAAAGGGGAAGGGGAGGAGGAGAAGTGACAAAGCAGGCATTCCTCAGAACTCCCTCTTGTTGAAAAATAACCTGACAATTGCTTTGTGTTTGGGTGAGAAGTATTAACTGATGGGAAAAGGGGTCGGATTCTGGGATTTTCCCTTGTCACTTTGTGAATAGTATTGAGCAGAAGAGAGTATCCTATATAGACCATCTTCAGTGCTGCCATTGATGTTGCCATCATTCAGGCTACCTTTTCGCTTATAAAGCTTTGCATCCTTTTTTTTTCTGCTGGCAATTTGGGCATTATATTGTGTAACAACACTGGGCCATTTCCTGGATTTTTTATTTGTGTGTACAGAAGCACAATATCCCACATTCATAAATCAGAGGGTTTTTGGTTTTTTTTTTTTAAAGAATTGGATTTCCTTTGATAATCCGTGTATCTCATATGTGCGTACTTCCCAGCTCCTTTCTTTAGCCAGACCAACTAACCTGCTAGCACAGGAGTGACAACATCCTGCAGTGAAGGTCCAATTTTTTTTTGCCACTGTTGGCCACACCACCACTCTCCCGTGCAGATCAACACAATGACAATAGAAAACTCCAGTGTTGTGGTTTCAATGGGATTTTAAGGTGGGAGGCTTGGAGGGCCTCAACACTGAACTTTGTCCATTCTTGGAGAGGGTTGTGCCCCCAAAGGAGTCTACATTTATGTGTATGCGTCTGCTAGGTGCCAATAAGTTGCAACCAACTTATAGCAATCCTCATAGGGCTTTCAGGGTGAGAGAGGTATTTAAGGAGTGGTTTTATCAGCTCCACTATGCTCCTCTCCAGGAGTTTCCATGCCTAAATGGGCATTCAGACTCAAGTCTCCTAAGTCCTAATTTGTCATACTGTCCCATAAACCAGTGATTCTTAATCTTAGCTAACCAAGGTGGTGTTAGATTGCAACTCCCAGAAACCCCAGCAAGCATAGCTAGCGGTGAAAGCTTCTGGGAGTTGCAGTCCAAGAACACTTGAGTTACCCAGGGTTGGGAACGAATGCCCTCCACAACACTGGATATCTTAAAAGTTAATATGACAGGTGGGAAATCAACAAAAAGAGCATTTCCCAGGGCTGCATGTGCTGAATCCTAAATTAAAAGTACAGAAGCTCTGGAAGGAAAAGTGTACGGTGGCGGGAGAGCAGATGTTAATCTTGACATTGGCATAATCTTATCTATCATGTCTGCTGTTCTTCAAATGAATATTTGCTAGGAGAAATATGAGAATCAACTCAGAATCAACTCCTGTCTAACTTGAACCATAAGCCAAGGATATTCTTTCTTGCATAGATGCTCTATTGTCTTAAAGATCCCTTTTGATTTTCATTGTACAGTTGGTTCTGAGATGAAGCACTCAAAATCATCATTGTATCTGTTTACAACATCCATAATTTTGTTAATGGCTTTTGTCCGGACAAAAACTGTTTCTCACTGGCAGCTGCTTTAATTTCTTATCTTTCGATTGCCTCCTTTTCTTCTCCAAACCCATGTGATCTTAGAAAAGTTGCTAAAAATTTCTCCATCATTCTACTTATATGATACATGTCCTTTCCCCCCTTCTTCTTTCACCTTTTGTCTTGACTGGATTAACAACTGGCATGAGGATGCTGTAGAAATCTCCTTGTTCCAGGAATAAAGAACAGATCCCTGGAGTGCTGTGCCATAAGACAAGTTTGAATGATCCCATTTTGTTGTCCCTTTCCTGGTTTAATTAACTGGGAGTTATGCTTTTCAGAAGAACCTTCATCTTCAATCTAGAGTTTGATGGTTTGCACTACACTCTTATTTCTGGAGAGCACCAGGCCGTGGAAGCCATAAGGTTTGCCAGCTTTTGATTCCAAAAACTGCCCCATTTTAACTACATCTAAGTACGATTAACTGGAATTGGTACACATCCCTCTAGTAATCCACTCAGCCCTCCATTTTAATTCCATTCATTTGCTCTTCCCCATGTGCTGAACTTTCAACGGTAAGCTTCTCAAGCCAGAGACCTAGCCTCTTTCAAGCTGCCACATAAATAGCAACACCAGCTAGGCAAGGTCACAGGTGCAAAAGTAGTGTCCAAAACCGCCTCTGTACCATATTTTCATCATGTTTTGCTTCACTTAGCTCCACCCTCAAGAAAGCCTAGGGAACAAAAGAGTGAGGAAACAAGTAGCCATCCAGATGCTGTTAGATTGCAAACCTGTTACTCCTTCACCATTGCTGTGTTTGCTAGGACTGGCAGAGTCTTATCAGGGTCAAAACATCTGGAGGACCACAGTTCTCCACCCTTCGGTTGAGATGTGACTTCAGACGAACACCCATATATGAGCCACAGTGACATGGGTGCCTCTGTCTAGCATCCTTAATGCACGTATGTTAATTACTTAGTAGAAGCGTGTTCACTGAGTTGAAATACTGCTGCTGGTTTTCATTTTTATTTATGACAGCTGTGTTTATATAAAGTTACATCTGGCATCGGTCTAATTTTCCAGCTCACACACACACAGATTTGGCAACTGGTCCAGAGTGGTGCCATACGAGCACAACGTCAGCATGTGCATGTACACACACACCACTTGTTAACCCTAGCCACATGTCATGAAAGCAAAGATCAGTATACATATTAAATCAGTGACTCCTGTTCAATTTCTTCAGCTTCCAACTGTAGGAAGCAATTTTTGGAAAACAGCTTTACAACAAAAAGCTGATATTAAATTTTAAAACCGATACTGGGAACATACATTCTGAAATAACATAAATATGAATATATTGCAGGATGAAAATATGCTTTATAAATATTAATGCATATAATAGCATTTTAGAGGGTTCAGAACAATTTTATAAGATGCATATTTATGAAAGTTAGAGAGTATAATCTTGTTTACTGAGACCTTCCATTTAGTGGAGCTCACTCTCATTTGACAAGATGGCATCCTTAAAAGTTTTATGTCTTAATTTTTTGCAAGGTATGCCCAGTAATAGTAAGACAAAGCAACAAATTGCTAAATCCTATGTTAAGTAGATATACATTATTTTTTGCATTTGAGAAGCATTATTGTTATTGTTGTTGTTGTTGTTAACCATGGGATTTGTGCCAAAATGGAGTTATATCATTTGAGCATAAGCAGTTTCATAGGCTGGCATCTTATTCAGCTGTGATGATGTCATCCTCCATGGCCATCTAGAGAGAAGTTAATTTTCCTATTCACTCCTCCAGGTTCTGGGGATCCCTAGGGATGCCCTTCACCTTGAGGAAACTTTTGGTAGCTGTGGAATAGGGGTGGGAACCCTTCAATGTCTGCAAATCACTGAGGGAAAAACGTATTTCCCACTTGCTCCCAAGGATTCTTCAT